TATTGATTAGCCATTAATTCACTTGAAAGGTGATAAGCATATAATCCTTTATGAATTTTTTAATTTTAGTATTAATAACTTCTCTTTTTTTCTTTTTTTTTTTTGGATTTTACATGAATGACTTGTTTTTAATTGTATAGAAAAACTACTCAAACAGTTACGTAAAAAAGAAACCAATTAGATTGTAGTAATTAGCCACAAAAAAAAAAAAAAGAAAAGAAGAAGCCAAATCTTATTTATTTATCTGTCTATATATATATATAATGCTACGTTATGTATTAATTAAAGTATGCATTTACATAAAATATAATAAAAACTAATTAAAAATCTTAATATAGGTGAAGAAATCGATTCATCTAACCATTTTTGTTTGTTTGTATAGCATGCTAATTAATTTATTTTGGAATATAAAACTGTAAGGCTGTCTAAATAATGCTTTCCTTTGCATTACTATGTGCATTAATTTCTCTAGTTGATAAAGAGATAAAACTGTTTAAATATTTAAAAAAAGAAAAAAATTATCTAATAAAAAGAAAATGGAGAGTCAATGTTTTGACTATTTATACTCCTTATGTTTTTTTATTGTTGTTTTTTTTTTTAAAGATTTTTTTAAATCCAAATTTGCAAGGTATAGTTGTTTGAATTGCTTTTTCTCAATATGAATTAGTATTTGATTTTAGTTACCAATTTGTTTTTTTTTTTCTTAATTATGTTATATCTTTTTTCTTATTTCAAAATACTTTATTTCTAAAATTTCAAAATTATTAGGGGGTAAATCAATTGCAAAAGATATGAATTATGTGTTTCTTGATTAACTTTCATATGATAAAGAAGATTGGAAGATTAAAGTGCGAATATGTAGATTATATGATATTTTTACTTTCAAATGTGATAGAAACCATTTTGACTATCAAAGCTGATGAAAAAGTAATTTTGTGAGTTATTACATTTGGTCTTTTAGGTACTTAATGATTTCTATTAATAATAGTTATTTATTTGTAGAAAAATTTTATTTATATTATAATTTGAAGTTTTAATGCCCTGTGATTTAAAGATAAGTTTGTTAAAGGGAATGTTTATTATGTGAAAAATTTTTTTGTGGAAAAGAATAGAGACACACATCATATTGTCTACATCTTGATACTATTATCAAAGAATTGAATGAAGCAGTGCCAATAGTTTCGAGATTTGTATTTGAACTTATTGATTATGAGAATTCATTCAAAAAAAAGAAGAAATGCTTTTGTGGTATTTTGTTTTTTTTTTTTTTTTCAATCTTAATATAATTTTATTAAATGAACATGTGATTTTTTTTTTATTGAAAATACTTTTATTAAAACTCTAGATGTGGTTTTTATAAATTTAAAATTATTCAAGATGTTAACATATATAATTTTTTAATGTTATTTGCTAAGAAGAAAGGTTAACTTCTAATGTACAGCTAATTGTAGGACGGAATAATAATAATGATAGGAAAAATACCACACATAATGTTGTAATACATGATATGTTAGATATTTTGTTAGAATGATGCATGAAAATGTTTTTTTATTGTATATATTTTTATAAATTTTTTAATTGGTAATTTATTTCTTTTTTCTTAATAGTTATTTATCATTTTAAAAGAAGATATTTTTAGTTGATGTTAAAATTAACAAAATTCATACAGGAAATGGATGGTGGTATCAATCATGTGGTCCAAAATATCAATTATTTATCTCTTTATTTTCAATTGTTGAAATTTGTTATGATTTTTTAAATAAAAAATATTTTTACTTTTAATAGTTGAGATTTATTACAATTTTTTAAATAAAGAGATAATTATATTTAAGAAATATGAATAAATATCAACTATTGAAAATAAAAAAATAAATAGTTAAGATTTTTATATAAATATAATATATAAAACTTGTGTATAAGTGGATCGTTACTCATTCTAATAATAACAACAAAACAATAATTAAATGAGAGTAACATACAGATTTATCTAATTATTTAATGTATATGAACTAATATAATAATTATTATTTTCTATTACATATATATTAAACCAAAAGAAGAAAACAAGATGAACCTTTTAATTTTCTCCTTGATGATATATGGAAGATAAATTTGCACAAGCATACCAAGCATACCAAGCATTCTTACGACTACATGTGTTATTATTAAATAAAAAGCTAAAAAAAAAAAAAGATGTCAAAGTTTAATTATTATCATGAAAATATAATAAAGTATAGAAACACAAAAGGTATAGAGTGGAATGTTTTAATTATGATTTACTAAAAATTAATGAAAGAATATAATTACAATTACAATTGTTATATCATAATTGAGAATGAAAAGTTTTACCAATATCATATGAATGCTTAGTTGAGGTAATAGTAAAAAAATTACATTTGTTTAGATTATGAGATAAAAATTAATATTAAAATTTTTAAAAATTTTCTTAATATTATTTTAACGTGATTCTATATAATTTTTTAAAAAAGTATTATTGTTAATTATCAAATGCAGTCCCAAATTCAGTTAATCATTTAATTAAAATTTTTTAACTAAAAATTCATTATAAAATTTAATAATTGATAAAAAAAAATAGCATAAAAAGTAAGTTCTAATATGAAGAATAAAAGGGTTAAAAAAAGGTTTTATAGAATTTAATTGGCCTAAAAAAAGCTTGAGTTCTAAACTAAGAAAACAACATAAGTTTAAGGTTTAACTGAGAAATTCCCCAAAACTTTTATAGATTTTATTTATTTTTGATTAATATATTCTTTTTTCTGGTCATAGATTCTTGTTTTTGGTGATTTGCGTTTTTCTTCTTTTTCTTATTTCTCACACAGAGACACTGTCCATTTTAGGGAGCCATGCCTTTATTATTCTAAGGTCGACTCAGATTGTCCATACTTGGCTGCTTCGGCTCTTCACACACACAGGGGAGAGAGACATCGAATGCTACCTACGATTCCTGCTCATCTCCTTCCTCTGCTCTTCTCCTCCTTCACTGTCCAATCCAATCACCACGCCTTTTTTGCCTCCTTTTTGCTAGATTTTTCTTGACCTCACAACAAATCAGGCTTCATCCATTTATCTATCTGTAAATCGATTAAATTCGGCGTTTTTTTTGGGTTTACTATCTGGGTTTTTGATTTCAGCTTCTGGGTATCTCTTTTCATGGCGTCTTCTTCTCTGACATCTCCGTTGTGCACGTGGCTTGTGGCCGCCTGCATATCGGCCACGTGCGACAAGGACCAGACTCGGTCTGCAATGCTTAACTCCTCCTCCGCCTTCAAGAGACTCAGCCGCTGCGCTCGTAGGAGGAAGGTTGTAGCTCAATGCGGAGCTCAATTGAACAACGGCGGGAGTTACAGTAACGGAGGCTTGATTTCGTCTTTTTGTGGATCCAGCATTCAGGGGTTGATGAGCTCTTGCTTGGCCTTTGAGCCCTGCAATGAGTTCTATAACTCCAAAGGGGTTTCCTCTCTCGGATTCTTTGGTGACAATGAGGGATTATCTTCGCTATTTGGATCCAAGAATGTTGCTGTCAAACGCAAGCAGAGGAGATTGAATCGAGCTGCTTATTCTGGTAATTTCTCTTCTTTTGTTCTGTTTAGTAGTTGAGTATAATCCTAATTATATATATAAAACAAAAAATGTTGAAATAAATGTTGAGTTTGCTAACTATTGAAATCTGGTCTCTTTTTTAAGCTTTCGATATAACCTAGGAGTAGCTGTTTTTATTTGTTTATACTATGATATAGGTTAGTTTTCTATCTTCTTTTAGCTTGTTCTTTTCTGATGATTATTTGGTACTAATGAACAGTTTTGCAAAACAAAGTACAAATTCTGTTCTTTGAAAGAGGCCACTTCCTAATCTTTATTATTGGCAGAAGAATTTTTTGCAGTAACATAGGCTGTCATTTCAATTTAGGTGGCTTTTAGTTGGATAATAACATTGTATTGTTTCCCTATACATATTATGTTCTTTCAAATAATCAACAAATTCAATTAAAATTTGGTGATACAAGCAGTTAAACTGATTCTGGATTTCTAAAGTAGAGAATTAGTGAACCTTTGACTCATTCTTTGCAGATTTTCAATACCATGGATTCTCTTTTTCTCTGGTGGGTGTGTAAGTTTTGTATTTTTTGTGATAGTGATTGTCTCACGAGCATCTGGTTGATTTTACCTGTGCTTGCTACTATTTATTTCATTACTATTCAGATGTATTAACACTGATATTTGATGCTGGTGAAGCCAAACAACCCAAAATCCTAATGTAGTAATTCTAGTTCAATTACGTGAGGTCCTTCCTTAGAGAATAGAGCATAATTTTTTACACTTGCTAGTTTCTTCAGGGTTTACTTGTTTTTGTGATTCTTTGCATGCTGATGTTATGTGTGTATCACATCTGTTAATTGTTTGGTTTTGCTTACTTTTGTCAATGCAAAGGTATTGTTGAAATTTCCATAGTTTTGTTATAGTAATTAATTAAATTCATTTGCAATCTGTGGTCAACTTTTTTAAAATCTTAGGAGAAGCCATGGCTGTAGCAGTGGAACCTGCAAAGGAAACCACAATGAAGAAAAAACCCCCCATGAAGCAACGACAAGTAGTCGTGACAGGGATGGGTGTTGTGACTCCACTTGGACATGATCTTGATGTCTTCTACAATAATTTGCTTGATGGTGTCAGCGGTGTAAGTGAAATTGAGACTTTTGATTGCACCCAGTATCCAACGGTAAATCACATTTGAGGTTTCTCATCCACTGACTACTGCTTCTTGCTCTAGATTCTGTTCTTAACATGCTTGTTTCATTCCATACAGAGAATTGCTGGAGAAATCAAATCTTTTTCAACAGATGGTTGGATTGCCCCAAAACTTTCCAAGCGGATGGATAAATTTATGCTTTACATGCTGACTGCTGGTAAGAAAGCCTTGGCAGATGGTGGGATTACAGAAGAGGTGATGCAAGAGTTAGATAAAGCTAAATGTGGAGTTTTAATTGGCTCAGCAATGGGTGGCATGAAGGTAACAATTTTTTACTATTTTGCTACTATATTGTCTTTTATGAAAATGAGGAATGGTGATAACTGATAAGGATGAAAGGTCTTTTGAACTTCTACTTGGTAACATCCAATATATGAAGTATGGATGTGGTTTGGGGACTGATTGATTTTGGCATAATGGCATGTTAACCAGCACTTTAAGAGGAAAAACAGGTTTTTTAATGGTACGTAACATTTCTATTGAGCCTCAATAATGGAAAATCTTTTACTGGGAAGAGATAATAGAAATCCAGGATGAGCATCAATGGGAAAACCAAACTACCTACAGATTGGATAGTGAAGAAACTAATTCTGCAAAATAAGTTTTACTTATTGTTGATTAACTTTTTGGGTGATTGATAAATTCTACAGGTTTTCAATGATGCTATTGAAGCTTTGAGGATATCTTATAAGAAAATGAATCCTTTCTGTGTGCCATTTGCTACTACAAATATGGGCTCTGCAATGCTTGCAATGGATTTGGTCAGCTTAAGTTTGAAATTGGTGCAATGTTAAGATACACCCTGATGAATGTTGGAATTTGGACTAAAGTTTTTAACTTTGATTTCCTTAGGGATGGATGGGTCCAAACTATTCAATTTCCACTGCTTGTGCTACAAGCAACTTTTGCATAATGAATGCAGCAAACCATATTATTAGAGGAGAAGCTGTAAGTTTTAGCTAAAAGGCAAATGATATGTATGGTACAACTTGAATGGGCTCGCTGAGATTTAAAAAAAATTTTCAGGACATGATGCTTTGTGGCGGTTCTGATGCAGCAATCATACCAATTGGTATTCCTTTTTCTCTTTCCTATTTTACACCATCTCATAACCTTTGAACTTGGCAGGGCATAATATTGTCAAATTATATTTTGCAATTCTTGGTGTAGGCTTGGGAGGATTTGTAGCGTGCAGAGCACTCTCACAGAGGAACAATGATCCTACTAAAGCTTCCCGTCCTTGGGATATGGTATTGTTCAATTAACTCAGCTTTCAGGCTCTTTTTTATTTTATTTTATTTTTTTTGACATCTCAAAACTCTATTGGCAAGAGTGAAAATAAAAATGGTTTAATGAAGCTAATTTGGAGGAAAACCAATGATAATTCTACATTTGAAAGGCAAGCAACTTGGCTATTTTTTCATATTAGAATAGAAGTTTCCATGTTCTTGTCATGTCATATGACTTTATAGGTCCCAACAACTCGTGGCTTTTAGATCTGCGCTTGCTAGTTTTTACAGAATAGTTCTATGTGCTTGTCCATATTTTCTTTTTGAAGTCTGTTATTCAAAACATAGTTTAGATTTTTTTGCATCGTTGGTCTGCTTGTGCATCTCTTACTGGTGAAATTTTGCTGGTTATCAAACAGTCTCGTGATGGATTTGTCATGGGGGAAGGAGCAGGAGTTCTGCTT